AACCTTTACTAAAAAAATATTACACCCCCAATTACTCAAAAATAACTTTGAAAAATGTCAATGGCATGAATGTACTTTGTTTTCTTTAATTATTTTGTAAGAGATAATAATAATCTAGAATATGAATGTCATTTTAAAGGTCAGTGGTAAATAAATAATTAGAATTACCCATCCCAAAGTAAAACATAAATTATCCTAGTTAACAATATCCGTTCAACAAAACATGTGAAAACCATGGATTTGTTTAAAGAAATCCAAATTTCAGAAGACTGATATTTAAGTTAATAAGAATATTACCTGAAAAACATGTATTTGTCTATAAATGATAACGAGGTGTATTACGAAAACACATACAAGTGACCTATAAAATGACACAATGTAAGAGCAGGAGCTGTTTTGAAATGGGTAGGTGACCATCAGACTTTGATCTGTGATAAAGTAACCTAATCATGCTTACATGGTATGCTGTTATCATGGCAGAAACATGAGTGCAAACAACAATACCTGAGAGTGACAGGATAAATAAGTACAATAATTATCAAAAATAACTCTTTGATGATTGGAAAAGCATTACAACCTTTCATTCAATTTAAAGGTGCAATGAAGACTTTGGAACAGCAGAGATTAACTCAAGACATCTCGGTGTCTCCCTTTAAGAATCAAATGAATTTGGACATTGCTGTACCTAATTAGTTTAAATACATCTCAAATTCCTTTTAAGATGATAAATTAGGATCTATGGGAAACACTGGTTTGGTTTTTGAAAAGATTGCTTCTGACATTTTAAACTCTCTTATTTGTGTTGCAACTGTCCTTGATTTCTCCTAGTCTGAGCCTTGGATGTGAATATACATGTACATCATGTACACTGAGAGTTCATTAGGTACACAAGATATCTTGGATTACCAGGGAATGATATATAAGTCTTACTACAAACCCTAGTGAACCTCCCCCCCCCCTCAACTACACTCCTGTGTGTGAAAAGTGTGAGAAGGTGTCCATTGTGTGATCCACAGCAAGTATTATCCTTTAGAATACTCTCACCAAAGCATTAGATAAAGTAAGGCTCTTGATAAATCAGAATGCCTAAAGTCAAGTATTGAGAAAGGGTCATGGAGGGGGGTTGCAGGCTTGTAACTAGACTAGAAATAAGTATGTTTTAGATGTATCAGACACATTTAGGCAATCTAATGCTTACCTTCTTTCAATAGAACTATCTCTCTGTATTAAACAACAGTGACAATCATCATTTCAATTCAACTACGTGTAGATATATCCAAGATTAGCATTCTTTCTCACATTGTCAGATGAGAGATGTATAGATGTATAGTCATCATTGTTTCATTCAGATTGTCTCTTGGTCATCTTGGATTATAGTAAGGTATGAAGTTTTCATGATTACAAATCAAACTGGAAATCGAGTATGTTTCTTGATTATATTCAGTAACACTTTTCCGTCATTATATAGTTTGTGTTAACCCTTTAAGTAAAAGGATGAATGCCCACCACACCCCATGACCTCTAATCAGCTTAAAGGTCAACCCTTTTAGTCCTTATATGAATTACATGTGCATGTACCTGCCACATGTATAAATACACATATTGATCAAGTTACTATGGTTACACACATGTGTACACATACATGTGTGTACGGGTTGGCCCAAAACAATGGAATTGAACAATGAATGTGGCTTAGGCAATTTAGCCAGGCCCTTATGCAATCTCTAGAACAAACACAACTAATTAACATTCAAAGTGAAATTATTCATTTATTCTCCCTGTATACCCCTTCATATCCCCTCCACGCTCTTATATCCTTACCACTATTAAATAACCCCTGGGGCATTCATACCCTCAGGAAGTGGGAAGTAAAGGGGATGGATATAAAAACATTAAATATAAAACACCTACAAATTAAAATAAATTTAATAAGAGTCCCCTCCCTATCCCATTTCCAGAGATATTTTGTATGTTTCCCTTGCATGCTATAATATCAAAAATATTAAAAATGGGATCAGCTGTTTTCAGAAGGTTAATCCATTTCATTTTGATGTAAATCAATTTCTGGTACATTGCTCTAATCCTATACAGAATTAACATGAACTTGCAGAAATACAGTTATATGAATCTAGATAATCCATGTATCAGATTATCCTAATCCAGAATTAACCTAATTCCTACTGACTTTGAAATGACTTTCCTAAGCCTGTCAACAACTACACCGTTCCCTGTGGATCCACTTATTGAATAAACCCTATATTGCTTTAGCCATCCTGGCTTTTATCATTTCATTTGCTATTCTATTGAACTCTGTAAGAAAACAGGGTTTTAATTCCTCTATTTATAGATTTGGTGTAAATAACTTGATATGCACTCAAACCCAGGTTAAACTTATTTAACTTCATACTTGAAACATGTCTAACAGGAGCAAACTGAAACTGCATCCAAATGCCACAACTCCCCCCCCCCCCTTCTTTCAACATCATAATCCCATGGTGGGACAGCCTCTGCTGGAGTCAAATTCTCTAGGACAGCTATATGGTGGCCATAGCTTCAGAAAATCAGTAAAGAAAATAAAACATACCATGGGCTTTCAACTAGACTGCTTATCCAGTTATCCCTATATTTCATACTGCATATTTCGTTGATTTTGGGAAGCTACGGCCGCCCCTCCGTACGGTTGCCATAGATCAAATGTGACCGAGACATTAGATAAAGAGATTGATCAGAATGCATAAGATCTTCAAAGCAGGATTATAAACATATTGCCCAACTGCCTTTCCAGTTCCAGACAGACATCCCACCTAAGCTTTCCACCTGCCTAATCCAACATTCAGTAAAATATCCATAAGTCTTATACGAATTAATATTCTGATATTTCCCTCTCTACCACCCCCCCCCCCCTCTAAAACCCGCATGGATATAAAACATGGTTCGTTATCTTGCCGGATATTACACATGATATTATGTTGCAATCATGCTAACCTAGAGACTATGATGACCTAATACTAAGCTGCAGCCATTATTGTCATGTCCCATTAATAAAACATTACACTGGGATGCGATAAATGTGTGAAATACTGAAGGAAATTAGAGTAATCACCATGAAAAGTAGACAAATCTGTAAAGTTAAAGCTACGAATTACACAAAATCTGAGAAAATCTGAGAAAAACTTTGAATCCTGGAGAAAATGTGTGAAATATCATGTAACTATCAAATAATTAAATTCCTGGGCATACCACCATGACATACATAAATCCCACTCAACTTATATTTAGTTAATGAATTAATGGATTCCTTGTGTTAACATTACATACTCATACACAGCCAAATGATGTAATATAATGTAATTTCCAACCTAATCGGGGCAGTTACTTATTAAAGGTACAACTTCTTATGCAACCAGCTGTTCTAATAAAGAGTTGGAGATAATCTGAAAATAGAATATTCAGCTGGCGACAAATTTGGTGGGGGGGTGGGAGTGGTCTCCACTCTGAATAATATCACACCCCTAAACATGATTGATAAAAAATTATTAAACCCCCCATATGAACTTTACACAGGGCCTTTAACCTTGAATATGAATGACATTCACATTTCAATATTAATGCCTTTGAAATGTGACTGCATTGACAATAACACATAATGATTTATTCTTAATTTGCCTGAGGTGTCAATTGAACTTTGAAAGTACAGTATTTTATTGAGGGTCAATTTACTATATAGATTGTCAGCTGTTAGGTGTTAAAATGTATGACTAAGTCTGCATTCTGTTAACTGAGGGGTAAGCAGAATAACTTTCTGAACTTGACCAGGCTGTTTCTTCATTTATCTCAATTTATTTAACAACCACTCAATCTTTAGGGATTTGAAATAATTAAAAAGATGACCGAAATCAAGGAAAGAAACTTGACAAAGAAGGTTTTGGGTCAATTTCGAATGGCCAAATAGGTGATGCTAAACACACACTAAATTATGAGGGCCTGATATTAATTCTAAGTGCTCTGTAAGAGTCAACTTTTTGACCTTTAAAGGTCAATTAGAGGTTTCATAATTCATATGTAGCTGAAAACCATAATAATAATCTTCTAAAACATCTAGAAACTGATACCCCCCAAACCAATAAACAGATTCCAAGAAATCTAAAAAAAGTTTGTTATTGAGTAGATGAAGCTATTTTGAAATCAAACAAACAATGTAATAGGATAAAGAAATGAATTAAACTATATTAGCAAAGTAATGTATTGGCCAAAACAATAATTTTTGGATAATTTTTATGAAAAGAAAACTTCTCATGTCCCAGGCCCGTAGCCAGGGGGGGTTGGGGGGGTTCGGACGAACCCCCCCCCCCCTGGCCAAAATTTCTTTCAAAATCATGCAGTTTTTCACCATCCTGACTATTTTTTGAGTGATTTTTGGCCAAATTTACCAAAGTGAACCCCCCTGGAACTTTTTGGAAAAGTGAACCCCCCTTGGAAAATTCTGGCTACGGGCCTGTGTCCTATCTCCCCATTTAGCCTCATTTAAAAGCTGGGGAAAATATTACAGAATACAATATGGACGAACCAACAAAACAATTTCAATTTAGTAACACATGAATCACAACACGTGACCTTTAATTTGGCACTGTTCTTCACTTTTAATTATCAAATCATACATGATCTGAACTATCACATCCTTCTTCGCTCGATGATTACAAATCTATGACATCATCGCTTGTTTACTCCAACCTTATTATCGTGATCTAAGCCAAGCCCAAAATAACTATAATTATTGGCCTTCAACCAGTCTACAATATTTTCATCGTTAACAGTATTTCAGAGAAACCAATATATCTACTTCTTTAGTACTAAAGGGCTAATTATTCAATTCAGGTTTCTTATTGTAAGATAAACAAAGGACTGAAAAGAGATTCAAAAGCGGTACATTTGAGCAATATTACTATACAGAAATCAATGAGTCCTGTTCTCTCAATACAGCAGCTGGTGTACATACTGACCTTTATATCTGTACTCGTGTATTACTCATCCTGTTCTCTCAGATTTCCCATTGTTATTCAAAATAAAACTCCACTTTTCTTAATTTATTAACGTCATTGAGTCATTAAATTACTTCTGAGGTCAGAGTTAACCTAAAATGTTCATTTTCGGTTTCCACACCCTTAACTCTGGTATCCCAATGCACTATGGTGACCTTTGTCCTTATTGTTAACCATATACCATCTGACCCTCATAATACCCTGTTAACTCATTCAAGGTTAATAATATAATGAGATGTGTATAATTGGCCTCTGATTGGTCCATCACACAGTAGGGGACTGGTCATGTAGAGAGCAAGGGTCAGGGACTGGTCAATTTCTACCTGTTATGAGGATAATTGTTTATCATTAGTTTGATTGCAGCATGTAAGAGTATGACTGGTTTAAGAAATACATACATAAATAGTTTCAATACCAATATTTCATCAACTAAGAAAATCAACAGAAAAACAGATAAATGATAATAATATAAAACAGAAAGAACAAGTAAATAAAACCTACCATTGTTTCAATACATCATCTTCATAATAAATACCTTCCAAGAGTTTTTACAGTTCAATTGATCATTCTGATAAAAAGACCAACGAGATATTCATTTTTAGCTGGAAATTCCTTCAATTTTTCATTTGCTGTATTTGGTGTTTAGTGGTGTATAAAAAACACTTTGGGACCTTCAATGGTAAAATACAAGGTTATAGCGTCCTGTGTGAAATACTGCATTGTGAATATATCAACCTCATTCTAATAGGAGCACTAAGTACACAGTGAGTCAGAAATTGGTTTAATTTATGCACGTCTCAGACACTTTAAAAAATATTTCCAAATGGCTTTGAAAAACTGCATTTAGTCAAGATTATACAGCCCCCTATGAAAGTAAATGGGGACGATTCTGATGCATCTGAAGGTCAGAATGCTTACGATCTATGCCATAACATGATAACATTCACCCTGCATAGGTAGCTATATCTATGAGGCGTTTTTGTCATAATTACGTCCAATAGCTTTTTTGAGATTGATTTTTATCATACTGATTCAATATTTGCTTGGGTCAAAAAAAGTTCATCATATTCTAGAAAAATCCAGATATACTAGCGAAGATTTCAAAAAACATGCACAATAAAAAAAACATGATTTCTCAACTTTTATTTGCAAGCTCAAAATAGACGCCTCTTCTATTAATAGAAAGAGAAGTGAAAAGATGATGAATAAAATGTTTACAAGTAGACCAAGTATAGGGTGCAAAAAGTTAGCCTGTTTTCATTTAACAAAACAAATCCAAAACGTGTTCCTCAACAAATCGTAAAAAAGTAAAATAGGAATAATTACCTAAAATTCAATAAACAAACAACATGGTTAAAGTTCAGTTCAGATCCCTTTCACTTCCCTGCATATTTTTTATAATAAAAAAAACAATGCAAAAACATACCAGATTAAGGTTCATGGCTATATCTAATAAAACCACTGCCCATAATAAAAAAATATGACCAAATTTTGGTCAATTGAACATATTTTTTAATTACCCCTTGTCTCTTGATGTACAGAGTTTTTCAATACCACCTCTCCCTCCAAAAATCGCAAATTAACAATAGATCAAATTATAACATTTTCAGTATTTCATAAATAAAAGATAAGATAGTGAAGGTAACATCTTGACTATCTAGTTACATAACTTCTAAGAAAAACAATATGCGCTGAGAATGAGGTAACTTATTCATTGTATCTAGGGTAATGACATCCTAGTTTATTTGAGTTTTCTCCTATTTTCCATAGAATTTAAGACAATGGTAAATCCTAATCAAATCTGAGAACAATCTACTTTTGAAGCCTCTGTGTCTGTCCAATACAATAATAATAGCTACATGTTTAATAATTTTGTGTTAGAGGTGACCAACCAAAAAATAATTTTCTAAAATGTAATACTATTTCCATTAGTCTGATTTTCCAAAATGACTTCATCTGTCTCATTTAACCCCAAAATATATTCTTAAGGTTGTCGTTATCCTATTTTTACTTTATCTTTGGAATTTGGTAAACACATTACCCTTTGCATTCGTTTGACTTCACTTCTTAAAAGAGAGCTTCGTCTTCACTCTTTCAAACTAAAATAAACCTGTGAACTCACCGCGCCAATCAGTGTTCGTCGGCCAAATTTGACCGACGTTCTATATATGGTCATTCCTTCTGACGTCATCGTTGAGCCCGGAATTGACCAATGACATGCGCATATTTAATTAGAACGCATTTAGCGTATGTTTCTTCAAGCTCGCTGATCGGTGGAAGAAAGGTCAGCGCGTAGGTCAGAAGTGATTTATTACCCAAACTGTCACCGGTACCCGCCGTGGGGGCGTGGCTACTAAACTGTAATATGGTCTCTACTAGGCAGAGTGTAGTTTAACTAGACTCTGCACGGAGGGTATAAACACATTGGAAAGGGAGAAAATAATATACTTCTGGCAACTTTAATAATTAATCAGTCAAAGGGAAAGGTGATCTTGAATGAAATGCGTCAAAGTCCTCAGCATAACATCCTGGTAGAAGTCCAGGCTTTAATCAAAAATGTAAAAAACACTTCAAATAGACAGTGAGTAGAAATGATATCAAATTTCACACAAAACAACAACAAATAAAAAGTACCATTGATGATAAAATTTTCTGACATATATCAAAAGCCAGGTACTCTGAAGAATAATTGTCTTTTCTGACACTTTTACAATTTCGAAATTTTAGAATAGTTCTCTCTCTTTAAATTCCTTCGCAATATTTAACATGAAACTAGAGCACAGAGAGTACAACTTCAGTATGTGCTTCTGGGGGGATACGGATATGATTTGAAAAAAAAACAAGCTCAAAAGAAGTATTGATTTTGATTCCCATCCAAGTTTGTAATTGTTTATCCCACCTAGTTTCACCAAACAGGTTGGCAACTTGGCAATGTGCCAAAATTGAGAATAGTGCATTACAAGATAGGGGGGGGGGGGGGTGAGGCTAAGGATGGATTGAACAGAATAGTAGAGGGGATTAAATGATTGGAGAATGACTGAATAACCTTTTAGAAATAATATTATAGATCTCATAAATCATAATCAGAAAATGGGCAGGGCAACACAAAGAAAAACTACACCCCAGCGATAAACACGTGATGAAACATCCACAGAGAACATGAGTATTCAATCGTTTTTTTCGTTCTTTAACACTAGATTCCTGAAATATTGAAGTGTCAAGTATGTAAATGACAATAGTACAAGTTTTACAGGAAATAGTTCCGATTAACTCGATAAACTCGCTTTATCTTGATTAACAATATCAACAATCCAAAACCGTTCAATCAGCTCTCTAATTGGTGAAAAATAGGTCAGTTGCCGTTAGCAACCTCCTTATGTCACAACGACATCAATACAATGAAAATAACATTTAATGTTCAATATACCCACGAAAAGATTTCACCTAAGAACAAACTGATTTGTGAACTTAAAGACTGACAAGTTAAAAATACATTCAACTTTTGAGCCAGTGTTTCTTTACTACACGACTACTACATGCATTGGTGCACCTAAACACCTCACAGTTGCCAACTTCAATATCTACACTATGGATTGAACTAGATTTTGATTGGTTAAAAGAAGGTCAGTTATAGTCTATGCCTGTAGTAGTCAGATAGAATTCACGGTCACATTGAACTTGGCCCTCACAATCAATTTCCCTACTCCATTGCAATATAGTGAGTTATTGCACGTAGCTAATCAAATTTCAGCTAAAAATATCAAAATTGTATGATTATTGGGTAATAAAACCAATTTGTGGGATAGTTTTTATGTAGTAATTAAACAGGAGTATATTCCTCATTTTATGATATTTTATTTTTGAAAAATGGAGTCAAGTAGCTATTTTTTTTATGTTTACCAGTAAAACTTGAAACAGAAAATAAGTTGATAAAATGTTTCACGATAAATTAAAGTACTTTTAATCACTCCTAAAAAAGTAGATCACTTATAGATAAAATAAACCAATGTCATTCAAACTAGTGATGCGATAAACTAATTACAATTTCATTATAGGCTTTCGTTTTCCTTATAAGGTAATACCGGATTTACCCCGTAATCCACTTCCATATATATTCTGTGATACTTCTGCATGTTTCAAGACACCATCAATGAAAGGAGTGATTCAGTTTTATCAAAATGGACTTATAAAACATTTTTGATTGAAACAAAAAAAGGGAAATTATTTTAGTTATTACACTACAGTGTAACATGTGTAAGATGTGTAACATCCTAGAATGAGGTTACTGACTTCAAGTAAACACATCTATACAGTAAAACCTGTCAAAACAGAATTTTGATTGGACAGGCTTAAAGTGTTTTTATATGAGTTGTTCACATTTCAAGTTTCCTTTTAAAATGGGAGTTAATGGAAAGATAATAAGGACCGGAAAAGGTGTTCATATTGGGAGGTGTTCAGTTTAGAAAGGAATTTAGATAAACAAGTTTTATTTTATGTAATAGATGACATTGACCTTGGTATAAGGGCCATTCTGTAGGCCAAGAAGTCAAGTATTAAAAGGACAGATAACAATGATTTTGGTTATGTCACTGTCTATATGATCTTTATAATTATCTGTCTATATTCAGTACTTTGAACACCTTCAGAGCATCTTACTAGCTGCAAAACAGACGTGATGAATATGAGAATGCTTGCTTCCTTTCTCCAATCACGATTAGTCCTGATACAGTAATGAAATTATTTTTCATGGAAATTCACATAAGTATGATATTTCACTAAGTATTTCATCTGAGGGTTCACCCAATCAGATATTAATAAAGATAGTTATGTAACAGGATAGAACGATCGTTAATATTTAATACAGTAATGTCAAAACTATACTTTGATTCTAGAATATCAATATCCTGTTTCTTATGTCACTTGTGGCGGCCACGTGACGTGGGGGTCATTATTCAAAAAAATTATGTAGGATTTGAGTGAAATCAGCAAGGAAAAAAAGAAAAAAAGCAATACATAAACTCTGAATTTTCAAGAAATGCAAAAAAACTAATAATCATTCAAATATTTTCCAGAAATATTGATCAATGTGAATTGATGAACAGACACACCAAAGCCAGATGTGAAGACATGATGTAATGTCAAGATAGCATTTTTCAAGGTGAAATAAACCCACACTTCTAAGTCACACTGATCACGCTAACTCCATATATTTCGATCTTAAGTCATCTATGTCATTATCTATTTCCACCATGATGGTATATGCATAAACTGATCGATATCATAAAAGTACAAACGTAATTTCATATTGAGACCTATATAGTTTTATTTCTGAATCACTGCTTTAATAGAGAGATTCGCCTACACTTTTTTAATTAGAGAGAAGAGTTAGTGTATGCCGTTTGATCTTGCTTCATTCAATCAGAATCCAACTCCCCAAATTAAATCTACAGATTAACTTTATTACTA